CATTGCATTTTCCTTGATTTCCTTTGATGCCCCCTTCATGTTCCCTGCACTTCCGTTATTTTTAGGTAGTTGTTAACGTTGTCGCAAAAAGGATGTCAAACAACACTGAGTTTTTCAATGAGTTCGGCTAAAGGAGGCGGAAAACCTCCACCGGCAAAGAGTCGCAGGGGGATTCGAGCCTGACCGTCAAATTGCCGCGCGGCAAGTGAGGGACGACCCATCCGCACGTTTCAGATGTCGGGCGGGGAAGGGGGGGTTAAGAGGGGGCGGTTATCCTCTATCCTATCTTTGGTGTCCGACACGCCGAGCGGGGAGGTTTCCAGATCTAGTGTTTCGGGTTCAGGGATCGCGGCTCGCTGGTTGATACCCTGCAAAACACTTCAGCTGAGAGGTAATCGAAAGGCGTCACTTTTGACAGAAAAGATTGTGGGGGGCTTGCTTTACCATCGCCATAGGCATGATCAGTGAGGGCACGGCAACATGTTTTAGGGATTCATGACCAATCTTTAATTTGAAGGCCAATGGGCTTCACCGCCATGAGCCCCTTTTGTTGTCAGCAAGCATCGGGAATCTGGTCACGCATCCAATGCATGAGCCACGTGCCAGGAGCAATGCAGAACATGGCCAGGGCCTCAAGGGCCTCAAGGGCCTCAAGGGCCTCAAGGGCCTCAAGCCAGGTAGGGCTGGGTCCAAATTCTCAGATGCATTTGTGGGCCAACAAGTCCTAAGGCTGCAAAGTGGCTGGACGGAGCACTCATGGGCATTTGCTTCGATGCTGGTGGCAGCAACGCAAGGCTGCGGCAACGGACTCCTCGGTCGAAGCGAGATGTGATGCGATCCTTGCGCGGCACAGGCCACTTCTGCATGGAGCGCAGGAGGGGCGCGATAAAAAGTTGTCGCAGAGGGAGAAAGAGGGAGAGAGAGATGCATGGCTCCGGTCAACCAGCACCGGGGGGATGATACGGCTTTGTGTTCATAATCGCTCAGTCATCTGAACCAGGGACAACTCTGCTCAAGGGGAAGCAACAAGGAGGAGGATGTTACCCCCAAAGGGTGACGCAGCGGCAACGGAAATATCAAGCAGCAAGGTGCTTGCGATCTGCACACTTGCACTGGCTAGGACGATGAGAGCCGCCTCACAGATCCAAAAGCAGGTGCAAAGGGGGGGCCAACCCACTGCGCCCGGGCCCTGCGCGGAGTAAGGCACGTGAAGCACTCTCGGTCGCATGGAGAGGAGCAAATGCCGACGTATTGATTTTTCTACGAGGGACTGGACCTTTCGACTGATTGCACAGTTTGGTGGGCTCGTGCTGCCCGTTTGCCTTCGTTGTGGAATGCTCAGGTCGTTTTTTGGAATTCAAATGGGCGTGAATAAGTGTGCCGTTCCGAGCTGCCAATTCTTTTTGCAGGTGCCAGCCGACTGTCTGGTCCATGTCAAAAGGGTTCGGTGCCGAGGCCTACTACGGGGAGTTGGTGCATTTGTGCAGCTTGCTGCATGCGGTGGCATTGCAACACCTTCGCTCCGACTCCAATCTGGATAATTTGGAGCCCGGGCACCCGCCTTGTCTCAAGTATCCAGGTGGAATCCACTGTACAAGCCACCAATGCCCATAGAGTCTTCCAAGGAGGGCTGTCCATACAGGATTTGTGCCCCAGCGTTTCTGAATTCGTGAGCATGATTTTCGTCCCCACTCTCATGGTCCTTCCTTGCCCTCCCAGGTTTGCCTACCCGGAGGATCCTTCACGGCAGGGGCCGCAATCAAGCGCGGGGTGAAGCTGAATTGATGCCGACAACAACAGGAACATGGGAGAACAGTCCATTCCGTGAGGTACTGGAACAGGGGTGTGGATGGCAAGGTCCCCTAATCGCAGGTCTTTCAAAGCTGAAGGCTGTTGGGGTCACCCCTTTTGGGAGGTCTTGCATTTTCCGCATCGGATCGGTTTTGATGGTTTGAAATGCACAGTTTCTGTGCCAGGAACTTTCGGAGCTTTCCCGCCTCTATAACGAGGTCTTCCCCACCTCCAGCTTCCGTTGCTCGGGATGGCCCGAAACAAATGTGGTTGCTCAACACATCCTCAGCCTGCGCTGTCCTGGTTTGAGGACCGGGACAGCCTGCTCCGAGTGGTTTAACGCTGCATGCAGGTCAGTGGCAAACAAGATGGACAAGTACGGCATGCCGTCCTTCTCGCCCGCAAAGGTGGGGATGGTGTCGTGTGGAAGAATTGATCCACCCAGCACCCTTGGCTCTGCATCTCTGCATGCCACTATTCCTGGCTACCTTGAAGACTGTTGCTGCTTGGATTGACGCGAGTGGACGACATGATCAATGACAAATGTTCACCAGCATCTACCGTAGTACAGGTGATGACATCTGGAACACTCACCACATTGCCATGAATGACGAGATGAGGGTTGCTCATCAAGCCCATGTCAGCTGGTGACACCAATAGTCACACCAAACACACGTCATTGTCTAGCCTTCGGTACCTTCAACTTCACCCGACCCAGTTACTGCATCCCATTTTGCCAGATCGGGGACACATTGGTGGCTGCCTCAGAACTTGGCCCACTCAGCAAAACCGTCACCATAGGACATTGCCTGGCGATTCCGAACCAAAAGGCTGTAAGGTAAAGTTCGTTTGCGACTGCCCACCTGAGGCACGTCAGAAGCTGCCAGTGCTGGGCGGCTTGAGGCCCGAGGAGCGTGCGGTGCTGGAGGCGTGGGGACCAGAACACGCACAACCTGTGACCAGCCCATGCGTTGTTTCGACGAAATTCCTTTGGTTTTGTCCCTTCACTGTGACTTGGGTGACTTGGGTGACTTGGGTAAACTGATGCTGAAGTCAGCTTGTCTTAAAGATCTTGGGTTTGGTTTCAAGTCAATGGGCTTGGAAAGTGCTCGAGGCAGACTCCCAAGGAAACCTGCTGTCCACCGATGCGCGAGTGGCCATGGTGGAAGGCGCACCTCGAGGTTTGTGCGAGCAACGCTCAGACTCAGACTGACTCAGACTCTACAGGTTGAATCGGTTGAATCGCCTCATGTGTTGCCATTGGCATTGCTGCCATTGCTTGGTATCTGCGCATGCAAAGGCAAGATGTGACAAGACATCAGGGGGAATGACCAAGCCTCGGCGAGGCTGGTTCATGCGACGGCTTCTTGGCCGACAGAAGTTCGAACAAGGCTGGCCGAACTGCAAGAGCATGCCCTTAAGCTGAGAGAGTGCGGAGTTGGACGTCGGAATTGTGGTCAGTATTTCCATTTTCATTTGAGCTACAGGCTCCTTGCATGGCACGCAAGGCGACTCCTCCTCAACATCACCGCCAATTCTCAGTAGGCAGGGTAGAGCGACTGGCAGTTGATGGAGCCTTTTGCTTGCCTTCTGAGTTCTGCCAGGTTGTACCAGGTCATCTCAGATGGAACTCTTTGGTTCGGGGCAGCTTCGAAGGCCGGGAAGCGAAAGTCCCGAACTTTGGAAAGGAAGAGCCTTCCGCCCAGTGCAACACCAATGTGCAGCAGGCATTTGTGGTGCATGCCAAACATGTGACACTCACATTGCAGGTTGCAATCACTCCGTTTCCCTTCCCGTACCACAACATCATCTCTGTTTTCCTGCTTCGTGCTCAGCATGTGCTTGCAGTTGTGCCGCACCGTGCGTGCGACTGACATGGCACGAGCTGTCATGAAGGGCAAGATCCTTTTCCACTGCTTGCCTTGTAACTAGTATTGATACTGCAGTGTGGCCTGATGGCTGGCAGACCCAATGCTCAACTGAGCAGTGCCCAACACCCCCTTGGCCACTTTACTAGCTACATAAGCCTTGTTTGGAAGTAAAGTCAATGGGTTTTCTGCGCTGCTCAATTGATTCAGCAATTCGCAAGGTGGATGTATACCATCCTTGCGCCTGTGCTGATCAATGGGATCATCATGGACTGGCCGGGATGAAGGTTTGAAATGAGCTGCAGGCTAACCAAGCCCTGTGGAAAATATGCTACTGTACAATGCATTGTCAGTTGCATGGAAGAAAGATTACGTGCTAGAGTCTGAGTCGAAGTTGCAATAAGTCAGATGAGAAATCCTTAATGTGACTGGGCTCATTGCCGTACGCTTATCTGTTTTTTGTTTTGTTTTTTGGCACGCACTGAATCAGAGCAGATGTTTTCTTCGATGGAGCGGTCACGCGTGTGTCGAGAGGACGTCGTCCTGAGGGCGATCTTTGTTTTCACCTCGGTGTTTTGCTACCACGCCCTCCATCATATTGGGGACAACCTTGAGGACCGCTGGGAAGGGGAGGTATGGATGTGCTTGCTCATGACTGTCTATCCATAGTCGCTGCTGTCAGCAATGCAATTTGTTGCTGACTACGCACTGACATACAAATGGCTGTCTTTGGCTGGAGGTCACTGCTGTAGTGTGCTCTGTCTCAGACACGCTCTGGTGAAGCACAAGATTCCAGAAAACAGCAAAGCAGGTAAGGTCACTGGCACGCTATAAGGGGGTTAGTGCAGCTTCAACAAAATGTACAAGTCCTCTGGTATTTGAGCCTCCCGGTGAATCCTCGGCAGTGGACATTTGGAGCACTTGGACTTGAGGGTTCTGGGAGCGAAGAACAAGCGTGCAATTTGGTGAATGCACTGAGTTCAGGTCAGCCTAGGATTGGTTTGGGACTGGTTTCGGCCAAAACAGCAGTTGGGTTGGAGCTAGCTTGGGGTTAGTTTCAGTTTATTTGAGGTTGAGTTGGCCTACTTTGGTTGGTCTAGGATTGGTTTTAGGATTGGCTGAGGTTTACCTTTCGGTGAATTAGGGGTGGTAGATGTTGTAGGGTTTTGTTTGGGCTGGTGTTATTTTGGTTTAAGGTAGGTTTAGGGTTGTCTTATGGTGGGTTCAGGCTGGAGCCGGGGGGGAAGGTGGAAGGCTGGTTTAGGGCTAGCTTAGCATCATTTGGGTTGGTTTAGGGGTTGGGGCGGCGGGATGGGATGGCCATGATGGTGGGCGAGGTTTTACGATGAGATGCCGCCGTGTCCCTGTCGGCCAAATTTATTTGTTTTTTGGGCTGAAGTTTGTGCCCCATTTGGCAGAATCTGAGCACAGCCTCGAACAAACTTCACGGTTTCGCATACCATAGTGAAGGAGTAATGTAAGAGCTGGCTATTGGCGTGTACTTGAGTCAGTTGCAAAGCAATTCTTCAAGCCACGCTGTTGTCTATGCTCATCTCTCACCGGGGATTGGCTTCGGAGGATCCCTACCTGCCGTATGACCCCAACGAGCTGCCACTGTGAAGGTCCCAGGTCAGCGTCCCCTGCCACCCAAGAAATGCAGTCAATGCAGCCAGTCGTTTGATGCAGACATCTCAGCACTTATGAGAGACTTGGGTTGACTGCCCAAAGTTGGATTCTAGCGACCGCAAGGCCTGACCTGCAGCACAGTGTCAACATGCGGTTATGGGCGTCAAGGCCTCAGCTTAGCGCTCCGCAAGTCAGATGCTTCCTCTCCCGCACATTCATTGTCAATCTGAGGTTTGGCGTGGTCCCTTTGCCGGCAACGCCAGACAACTTGGCTCCGAAGGAGACGGCTTGGTTGCCATTCCCACAGTGCAAGAATTGGGCTGTGCCCCTCACATTCAAAATAGCGCAGGCACTCGGATGTGGCCAATAGGACGGTCTGAAGACGCGCCAAGGAGCCCTGCCTTGAGAATGAGAAGCTGAAGTGAGAGCTGGAGGCGGGGGCTGGGCCATTTTCAGGATGCACGTGACCAGGCATTGATTCATGAGTCTTGTCTAAAACTTTGAATTGCTCCAATCTGCTCCTTGAAGGGATGCTGTTTTCAATCAGCCGGCAAGGAAGCACTAGACTATGCCATCCCCCTGCTATTTGGGAGATTCCATTTGCAGACACAGCTGGAATCCGGCGGCAATCCCCACATTGTCCACCCAAAAACTGGGCTCTGAGGCTTCTGAGGCTCGGTGGAGCACACGGGCTGGGCCTGGGATCCCCAGGCACAGCCAGGCACAGCCAGCATCTAGCATTTTCCGGCAACTATTTGCAGAGCGTAGGGTTGCCACGCTTGCAAGGATCTTGTGCAAAGGGAATGACCTAATTCCTGCGAAGCGGCAACCTGTACGAAGCAGGAACCACAAAGTGGTGCCGATTCCTGCAGCTTGCATGTGCCAAAGACGATGCTTGCACAAAGTTTGCTTGGGCTGGCGGTACGTAAAGATTGTTTGTGCCACACGGCACTGATCGCACTGTTTTGGGACTGTTGCTGATAGGCAGGCTCTATCTTTGGCTGACCGGGTGCACCCAAAGTGAAGCCCACTGCAAGCGTACTAGGCAAACCTGCTCTGTTTCTCAGCTAATCCGCACCTTTTAGTAATTTAGCTATGCGTTGGCTTGGAATCAGGTGCTTGGACGCTTGGGCTGTGGTGCCGCCCATTTGCCTCGCTGCCTTTCACTGAACCTGTTGACACCCAATTGTCATCAATTTTCCTTTTTCGGCTTATCTAACAGGCCCAGTTTGCCGAGCGCATTGCGGGCTCAGATTGGCTCCAAACTGTTCGGGGCGAAGCTCGCGGGGTGCGCCTTCGCTGCCTCAAAAGTGCTTGGGGTACGGGCACAACTTGATGCATTTAGTTTTCTGTCTTGATCAACATGATGTTTCATGAGTAGAAGCATGTTTGTTTGTATAATATTAACCAAGGAGGCAGAGGTCAATCCTGCCGATGTTGCGATGTGGACTGGCTCGGCAGCATGAAAAGAACTCCGAATTTGAACGCTTTGCGCTTCAAGACATGACATTCTGGCTTAATATACTTCCATGACATCTGACTTGATATGCTTGATCTTCAAACGTTCGGCTGTATCGAATTCATCTGAAAGTAAGAGTGCGTGTGTGCGTGTGTGTGTGGGTGCGTGTGTCGGTTCGTCTCTGTGTGTGTGTGTGTGCTGTGCGTTTTTTTTTTTTTTTTTGTGTGTGTGTGTGTGTGGCCCCCCTGTTTCTAAGGGGTTTCCGCTGTCCTTTTGAGTTTGGAGTCGGACGCCACCTCCCGGCATGATCAGGCGTGTAGTAGTCAAGCAGGTGATGGCGTCCCTGAAGAGGAAGCTTGCTTGACGAACAATGTCCTGACTTGCTCGGAGCCGAAACTCCATTCTCCACTTTTCACCTTCCAGTTGCTCGGGGGTGCACCATGGCAGTTTCGCCGTCTCATATCAAGTGTGTTTAGGCACTGCGTCCGGGCTTCGGTCAGTGTCTTGATCCCCGTTGTGGGCATCTGTTCCGACTCATGCAAAGACATTTTCTACAGACAGTTACCGGACCTTGTCGCTCGTGACGCTTGACTGTTCCAGCTGACCTTCTCAATACAGGCTTGGACTTCTCCCAGACGTTTCGGCACCCCTGACTGTTTCCGTGGACCTCTTTCAGTCAGACAAACTGTTTGACTAACCACCAGACCACCCGACACATCAGGCCAGAACTCATGACGCCGTCAGCTTGCTCTTGGCTTGCAATTGTCGGCAGCAGATGCCACGCCCCAACGCAGGTCCGATGTCGAACTCAGCAGGCCCTTTGTCGAAGGCCACCAATCACACAGCGGGTCCTACGCCACCCAGATCACCAGTGAGCCAGACAGCATCACCGAGCAGGAGTACACTTGTGGCACCGACCTTCAGCACTACTGGCACATCGTCCGGCATCTCGATGGCCGCAAAACCTTCGGCTCCATCCCCTGCTCCTCGTGTCGCAACGGTGCCTATTTCTGCTTCCCCTACCCGGCCTGGATCGGCTGCTGGCCCACTGCCGCGAATCCTGGTGAAGGCGCGCCCAGCAACCCCAACTACCCCAACTACCCCAACGGCTCCAGCTACAGCATGTCCGACTCCGGCTACCGCACCGACCTCTACGGCAACCCCGCGGACTCCCACGGTCGCTCAGAAAGCGGCAGTATCAGGTCCTACACCTCCACAGCCAGCTACAACGCCCTCGGCTCCCAACCAGGCCACCCCAGTGCCAAAGCCAATGGCCACCACAACTAAAGCACCGACTCCGACACCTACATCGTCGGCATCTCATCCATCCAGTCAGATGCTGCCACCGGCCAACCCACCGGCAAGATCACGCCGCACAACGGAGGGCGAACGATCACGGCTCCACAACGCCGAAGTCGAGCTCGCTCCAGGACGCCACCACCGATCTCCCGAAGGGACGCACGGTCGGATCGCTCATCCACGGCAGCAGCAGCTCTCGCCACTTCCGCGACTTCAGCGACTACAGCTTCATCCCAGCGACCGAGAAGCAACAGGTCCCCGCTTCCGCGCAGCAGAAGCAGTGCTCCACCGGCTCCAGCTCCTAAGACCACCGGTGCTTATCCAGTTACAGAGTCGTCCTCCAGAAGTACTCAACTACGTCCGACTCCCCAAATCACAGTCCGACCCGTGGAGGAGAGAACTTCAGGTACTTGCCTCGCAGTACGTCCGCGACGGGATCCCGGTTAATCAGGAGCAGCTGGACGTGGCCGCTACCCTAACTGCAGCAGGAATACCGTCTCAGCACTCCACCTTGGCCTATGCAAAGGTCAATTCGGACCATCACTACTCCAAGATCACTCCACACTGGTTCATGCTGACCGTCCCCTACCTCGGCGCCACAGTTAGGCTCAAAGAACCAACGAAGACGCGACCCATGCTGCTCTGGACTCACGCTTCCAGTATTGGCGGTACTCGAGGCATACTACGAAGCCGGCAGATACATCCTTCCCGGCAGCATAGCTCGGAGTGCCCAGCCTTTTACGCCCAAGGTTGGAAAATCACAGGACACGCCGACTACGACGCTGAAGAAATAGCCCGGATGATGTCTCAGAACTGGAGTATGTCTTTCAACATGGCCCAACTATTGCTGTTCGGGCGCGCCGTCGGTACCTGTCAGCCGATTCGTGGAGGGGGAGAACGAGCTTTGCGTCGAGGCCTTGGATTCCAGTGAGCGTCCTGACGTCATACACTATGTTGCAGGCAAGTGTTGGCTGGTGATTCCAGAAGCCAGCCAGATCGTTGGACTCGCGTGGCCTACCGACGCGAAACCACCCACACATATTCTCCGCTCGTGAACCTGCATCAGGCAATGATCCAGATGACCAATCTACAACTTCGGCAGTCATGCTCTCCATGAGCTTTATCGATGCGCTGGTTTTGCTACACCGGCAACCCGATCAAATGAGCTGCTGCACCTGATGACCATTAATGATGTTTCATTGCAATACCACATTGCCGTCTCCGCCCGCCGACAGCATTTTGCGACAAAAAGTGCACGCCGGGCCTTCTGACGCAAGCACGACTTTATTTTGCTGGTCTTCTTGACGTGGTTTCCATGGTCTTGTGTTGATCCGCTTGTGTTGATCGCTTTTTCTTAGCGACAAGGAAGTTTCCGGCCTCTTTTTTGAAAACCTTTGTCAACGTGTCAACCCGTGCCGCATGCCCAGCGTTTGGTCAATCAATCAGCAAGTGCCAGAGATAAACGACCATCCCTTGATGGCCTCTCAGTGGCCCTACTCATGGCCGGCGACTTCGGCAACCCCTTCTTCGCAACCGATGTCTTCGCATCTTCCATCATGGTCGGTCCCGCAGTCCCAGACAGCAGCCTACTCGAGCTCCAACCGGATGGAACCCGTGCAGCACCAACCTCGAGAGGAAGCAGTACCCCGGGTCAATCCTCCTCGGCCTCCACATATGACCTACCAGTTCCCACCGCAGCCTCCTGGCCAGTTTTACAACTATCATGGCGGTGGCACGACCCACATACAGACAGGTTCTCGGCCCCCACCACCAGCACCACCAGTTCAACTTCAGCCCCGTGCGCCCCTAGGCCAAGGCGATACAACGCAGTATACTCAGCCTCGCTATGCGCAGCTTCTTCCCGGCACCTTTCAATCTGATGACATCTTTCTCGACAAAACGGAAGTCCGTGGCCTGCAACTATACCGTCATATTCAACCCACTCAGTGGTCTCGCAGGGTCGGACTCGCAGGAACAGCAATTCTAGATCTTCCACTGACGCGTCTTCTTCGTGGAGGAGCAGAAGATCACGCGCTCAGAGCGCTATCGAACGGGCGATACAGCACACCGGTTCTGGCTCAGACAATTGCCGAGGCGGTGTTATTGACATCAATCCTCAAAGCCTTGCGAGGCAGGGAAGTCGACATCGATCGGACAGCCCGCTCCCTTCACCCGGACAATGCGCCAGACAAGCGCAATGAGGCTATGCAGTTCATGGAGCCGCTCGCGCTCAAAATCGTGGACCTCATGGAGTCCCTGCAGCCTGCCAAGCAGGAGAACCTCACCCGCCACAAAATTGCCGAATTGGAACATCAGCTTGAGCGCTACAAGAGCAAAGGTATCACTCTCACACCGGACAAGAAGCAGCCATCTTCGCCTCCTTCCAATACCACTTCCTGGACCCACACCTGGCCGCTCTGACCAGTCCCTCTATATCAACAAAGCGATGTCGGATGCTCCTGGGCCCCCCCTACCAGTTCCTTCTCCGGAGGCTAATCCAGCTCCCAAACGACGCCCGGCGCCCCGGACATCACCCTAGATCCAGAGCTTTTACGTCAGGGCAATCCCAAGGGCCAGCAGGTCCCACTTCCCACCAGTCTCACGGACAAAGTCTTCAAAGCGTGGTTGCAGGAACGCACGCTGACCAACCAAGCGACTTATCTCGACCTCGTCAAGCAGGAGCTGGCATCGGACACGGTGGAGCAGTTGAAAACCATTGCAGTCAAGTGGGGGGCGACTATCTCGCTGGTGAGTAAGGGATCGAAACGAGCGCTCCTACAGTTCATCACGGTACTGTACATGTACGGCAAGTGAGAGAAGCGATGCTCGCACTCACGATGGAGGATGTTAGCAAACTATGAACCGGCTGGCACAAAAGGCCCCACTGCTAGGCGCGCGGTCCAAATCAAGCTGCTCCCCTGTGGGTCGATGCCTTTTTCGCTAGGACGTTGTGGTTCCCTCTGGTCTTCCTTTTCAGGTGTGCCCGGAACGTGCCCTGGGTTCTTCCTTTGCTTTTTCTTTTTCTCGTTCTTGGTTCCCGGGGTTTGCAAGCCGGTGTTGTTCTAAGTTGACCCCAACTAACACGCCGGTGCTCAAGCCTGCTACATATGGCCAAGCCATGCCGGTCATTCAGTCTCCGGAAACGGTGTTTCTCCTGCAGCTCTTCGGCAAGTATGAAAGTTCAGAACTATGCGGCGCTGCCAAATACTATGGCATCCCTGAGCCCATGTGGCCAGTTAGCTTGCAACATGGCACCGACCACTTCCTTCCCTACCTCACGGCGCTCATTGCGCTACGACTCGGTGATCCACTCGATGTCAACGCATCCTACCAATACTATCAGGTTCTCTACCTGATCATCATTACGTGTCGCAGAGTTCTCAACATGCCGATGGTCAACAAGCAGCTGTCCATGTGGGCCGAGTCCCTAGCCACACTGCTCATGGTTCATCACTACGGTCGTCCCACACATGCACTTACAGAACTCAGGCGCCGACTACGACGCTTGCACATCCACCCGAACATGTACACCTTCACCCACTTCTCGCAGACCAATGCGGTGTACTGGAAGCAGCGAGTAGAACTCCGCCCTGACCTTCCGCGCTCAGTCAACCCGCAGTCCGATGTATACATTGGCAGTACCAGCATCACTTATTCCAGCCGAGAGCACAATCGTAGAGCCAAGTTGCTGGGTATTCAACAATTCATTAATGCTGAACCGGCACTCACGCACCACTTCGCCAACTATGATGAATTTGCCACCTGGGTCATCCTGACCGACCCCGACCACACAGTCACCTGGACTCAAGAGCATGCCCTGATCAGCATTTATCAGCCGTCCCTCAATTGGCCCTACATTTACCGGCGATACAAGCGTAGCTCCACCGGATACACAGCTACCAGGTTTCTTGCTGAACAACCCTGGTCCAGATTCGGCAAACGCCTCTTCCTTCGGCTCCGAAGAAGGAGCTGCACAGTCTATGGCCGAAATTTTCATCGAGCGGCGCTCAAACACAATCAGGCGTGGTCCATCATTGCCCGCCTCACCTCGGAGCACATTGAATCCTGGGAAGAAGAAAAACGACTTCGCAGCGGACAGCACTCGGACCTGGACATCTACGCCATCTACAGGTTGTCTGGCAATGTGGAGCAGCCTCATCGGCATCGAGTTCGCAACATTCTTCGTCGAGTTCTTGATTTCGACAACTACAGCAACCCAAGCTCAACCTGCTATTGCGATTACCGTGGCTGTCTCACCCAAGTTCTTCGTCGTCTCGTCATCGACCACCGCAACTGGGCCCTTCCATTCCACTTACCGAGCACGAAGCTCGCTGATCCCCGAGTCCACACAGTCATGTGGAACTACTCGCCATTTCAAGACTGCTATCCCTTGACGTCTTCTGGGCCATCATCGTGTCAATGCGACGCCTGGCTCAAAAGTCAGCCCTGGCTATCCC